TAATAAAAAAAGACACAACAGGGCATTTTATGTCACTAAATATGTACTCTTTTGCTCCTTCTAACATAACTTTTCAACACCAACACCACCAGGTTTAAAAAGAAAATCAAGGCACATGTCTTGCTTGCATGACTGCACCCTCCTGTTTGGACACAGCATCCAGACCACCCATTGGCACACTGGGTGCCAGCCACTGGCCAACTAGGATGTACCCACCCATTGTGTGCAAATGGTCCTGCCCAGGATGCAGCTGCTTCTCTGGGATGGCGGGAGCAAAGAGCAAGCAGCGAGCCCCCTCACCCACCCTCACCTCTGCATCTGTAAATCACCTGGTCCCTGCTGCTGTCATTTTCCTGTTCCTGCCTTGTTCTTGTCTGTGCCTTTAGGATAGGCATCAGTTCCCTTGTGCTTCCTAAATCTGAGGACACCTTAACCACGAGGTGAACGTTTTATTTCTCTCTCTGAAATTGAAAATATGAAATTTAGAAGTCAAGTCATTGGTAAAATATCACATGCAAATCATCTTCCTGTCTGGAATAAAGAAACAGGCAAACAAATAAGTACATGTGCATGTGTGTGCGAGTTTAAGGGCCTCTGCACTGACTCTCACTGTTCATGCTGAAGGTGGACAGGAAGAGTTAGGGTCTGACTGAAGGAACGGTGATGGATACGCACAGTAATGCAGAACACTGACTTCCTGTAAGAGACAGAATATTGAAAGAAAGTGGGAAATTGTCCAGAGAGCTGTCACGATCCTTTTGACCTCAAGGAGCATCCAATTTAAAACTGTGTTAAATTTGTCCTCCAGGAATAGCTGTCACTACTGAGATGCAGCATTTCTAAGGACAACCCACTAGTGCTTTGACAGCATACCTAGGAGCAGTCCATAAATCAAGACCTGGATTTTCCCTTAGTTCAAACACTCCTGAAGTCAAGCTATTCTGGAAGTTTGAGCCAAACTTCCTGAGCTGTCTTCTGTGGGTCTTTCCAAGGTAATTTGGAGATGCTATTTTCCTATATAAAAATACTGTGTTTCTTTATGGATTTGATAAAACTCCGAAAATAAGAATAGTACATTTAAGAACAGTTTTCTTAACTAACTTGATAGCTGTTAAAAACTGAGTTATGCCTCTTCCCAAGTCATATGTGGAGCTCTTAAACCAAATTATCTTAGAATGTGACTTCATTTGGAGAACAGGTCTTTAAAGAAATGATTATGGTTAAATAAAGTCAAAAGGGTGGGCCTAATCCAATACAAATGCTGTCCCTGGAAGAAGAGATTAGGACACAAACAATACATAGACCAAGGAATTACTATGTCATGATACAGTGAGAAGCTTTCCATCTATAAGCCAAAGACAGAGGGTTCAGGAGAAACCAATCCTATGGACACTTTGATCTTGAACGCCTTGATCTTATACTTTCAGCCTCCAGAACAGTGAGAACATAAATTCTTATTGTTTAAACTACCCCAATGGTGGCATTTTGTTATGGCAGCCTTAGCAAGGAAGTACAGTTGCTATTGGTTGTTCCTTAGCTATGGACTATCCAAAGTGGTTTTCTTCTTTATTATCAGTAAGAAAGCTCTGATTTTTAGTAAAACACAAACCTATTCCTTCCTTCATTTTCTGTCACTTTTGCTTTCATCCTAAATAGTTATTAACACCTATAGGCTAGGACCAGGTGGAGTTCAAGTTCCCAACTTATTAAGAGGAAAACTCTAGGTTTTTATCATTTGTTTCTCTTTAGTACCATGGAGAAGGGTAAGGATTATGTTTTTATCACTTTATAAGTGAGGAACTAGAATCAATTGAATGATTTATTGAAGGCATAAGACTGAATTTTTAAAACAAGACTTTCAATTCTACTTTTCTGCTGCTCCTTCAACATTCCACTCTTCACCTGACATTGTAATATTTCCAGGTTTGGAATTCTTTTACAGTACAACATTTGCTTCTTTGTTTTTGAAACATTATTTTTCTGCAAATCTGTTGGATTGATTTTTCTGTTCTCTTAATTTTGGGCATTGGTGTTATGTTTGCAGTGGGTTTCTTAGAAGACACCATCTGCCATTCTTCATTCTGCCTTCTCAATGACAAATTCCAAGGGAGAATTTTTTATCCACCTAATTTCCTAGAGTAGCCCACAGTACACCTATAAGACCTTTCATTGAATCCTTTCTGTTACCACCTTTCCTGCAACTGTGGATTCTGAACTTTATAGGAAGCTAAGTACCCATGGAATGTCAAAGCAAAAGACTTTGTCACCTTTAGATCAACTGTACCACTATTTTACGGTTTTTGTGTACGAGAAGGAATTTCTTTTATGGGAAGCATTACTTCTCCATATTAGGAGACTAAAAAGAAAAAAAAATCACAGTTCTTATAGACAAGGACACAAATTCTCTATTGTCCCTAGTGGAGCCTTGGGACTACTAGTATCTAAGGATCATTATGGCTGCATCTGCATGGCCCCAGAGGTGAAAAACTTCTAGGAGCCCTGAGCCCAGCAATTTCAAGATAGCTCCAGGGCAGACGCACAATGAGCAGCATGGGTGAAGCAGGAAAATCAAACTTGCTGCACCAAACTACATCCTTGGAAGTGCCTTGGGGCACTTCAGAAACAAGGGATATGCTGTCTTTGCCCGGCCACTGCTGGTGTGGTCCCCTAGCTTGGATCATGAGGGTGGTGTGACCCTGGCAGAGAGTGGGTAGAGCCCCAGGAGTCTGGGGAGAAGAGTTACTCACTAATGTTCTCTGTGGCTTAAACCAGCTCAATGGACTCCTGTGTCTAAAACCTGGGGAGAAAGATGCTCTTCAACTAGAGGAATAGATATACTAGTGAGTTAATTCTGAAGCATGTGGAGAATCACAAATGTTGAATTAAGGTTTCACAAATGTTCTTTGTTCTTTGGCATATTAAAGACAAAAAATACCTGTTTTTAAAATATTTTGTGGTCACTAGATACCATATATGATAAAAACAATAATAGCAGGTACTGATTAATATGCTACCTTAGCCAGACTTGATACTATGTGTTATTCTGTTAGTGCATTAATTCATTTACTTCCACACAGTCTGTTACCATCCAATTTTACTGATGAGGAAACTGAGTCATAGAAAGGTCAAGAAACCTGCCTAACATTACTCACTGAACATATCTGGCAGGATTTGGAGCCCAAACTGGCTCAAAAACTTAAAATTTCAACCAAAGCACCTTTATTACCTTAAGGACTGAATTTTCAAAATCTGTCATGTTTCACATCTTCTGACCAGCTGCCCTATAGACACTTGAACTACCCCAGATAGGGAGAATATATGGCATCTAAACTGCATCTTCTGACTATCCCTCATAGGAAAAGCAATGCAACAATCCTCTGTAAAACCAGGTTGTGGGCACAGAAAATGTGAGTACCAGAACTGAGGCAGATCACCAAATTTTAGAGAATTAGAGGGAAATAATGTGTCCAAAGCTAAAACTACTCAGAGCTTGCTGTCTTACAGTAGGGATCATCCTTTGGAATGTCAGCCTTCAGTATAACACTGAGGTAGCAAATGCAGGTTATAAGCAAGTCCCAGCAGATGGAAATCTGGAGAAAAGGAACTCACTGTGCTGACATTAATTATTTAAGGACTGCTTTCTTGAGGGACCACTCCTGGCCTTTAAAATGGAGCCTATGAGTGTTCTTATACATTACAAATATTTATAATATTATAGTGCCTATGTTTCAAAAAGTAGGTTTTAATTAAAAACCTCACAATGTTTTTTTGGCTTTGTTGTTTTGTTGGGTATCAGGACGCGTAGGAGTAATGGGGCCCAGTGGAGAAAAGAGCACAGAAATTCAGACCCACAAAGTCTTTTGAATTTCCAAATGTGGTCTGTGGCCTTGGAGATTTAAGAACTCCAGATTCAAGACCATACAAATGATTCACACATCCAAGCATCCTTTCACAGGGATAACTACCACTCTACAGAGCTGTTTAGATAGCGTCAACTCAAATAGTTTGCTCTCGACTGGAAGCAAGGCAAGAAGGGGTAAGAGTAGCACAAACCTGGATATCTCTTGATAGATACTATTCTGAGAACAGTTTTCCTTTTGGTTCTAAATAGCACCATATTTTGTTTAGAGCACCTTGTGTGGCCGAACAGAAAAACAATGAAAAATAAACTCTTCCAAACTAATGCTCTGGGTATTTCTCAAGCTCTCTAGAATTCATTAAAAAACAATTTATTAAGACAATTCTTATGTTGAGTGAAGCTGTTATCAGTTTTGTTCCTCCCCATATTGATTTTTAACTCTGTGCAGCAAACCTCAAAATGCCAAGGCCTGAGATTAGCTGCTACCAAAACCTCTTCCTTGTTCATCCTTGGTTTTTGAAGTCATCTTTCCTGTGCCATTCACAACTTCCCCCGAGCCCACCTTCCCCAAAGCAGCAGCCTGGACTCAGGTTTTCCCTTTCCTGTCTCCTTTGGTCAGAAACTTCCCAAGCTTCCTGAGAGCTGGCTGCCGCAGCAGCAGAGATGGGCTCCCAGCTCCTCCACTGCAGTGAGATTTGCAAGGGAGTCTCTTAGGTCTGAAAAACATCACCTGGGTGGGATCAATTTGGTCTAACTTGACTGACCTACACTGACACCAGGGCATACTCAGAGCCAGGTCTGAAAATCAACAGCTATCCGCAACGCAGCTCCAAACCAGGAAAATTCTCTAAGCCAGACAAAGCATAAAACCCATACCAAACCCACCTGACAGGCTGAGAGCAATGAAATTATTTCAGACCCCAATGCCTACCTTAAGGCTGCCTGCCCAGAGCTCCGGGCTCACACATGCATTCTCCTCTCTGGGTCTTTTCTCGCTCTCCAATAGCTGAGCTTTCTCAAACTGAGCAACAGTCTCCTCCCGCGTCGGGCTCTGCCAATACACATGCTACACACACAGCCTTGCGGTGCCAGGAAGTCCCTTCTTCCTTCCCGGCCGTGCCAATGCCCTGGCCGTTGACCAGCTCTCTGGCAGAGCGGAATGGGTAAGGGAAAGCAGCCAGCGGGACTTGGGGGACGGATTCAACTCACCCAGGACGAGGTGGCCGCCCGTCGGAGCAAGAAGGGTGCGTTTCAGCCCCCTTCCCTTTAACCCAAGCCTCCTCCCCCGCCCCAGATGGTTTTCCAGCCCGCTGGCAGACGCCCCCCTCCTCCTGGGCGTGACGCCGGCGTGCAGCCCGGCGGGACGCGGCGGGACGCGGTGGTGGCCCTCGCTTCTCACCTTCCCCGAGCCCGTGCTCAGAAGAAGCCCGGCTGGAGTCTCCACGGAGCCCTGCCTTTTACAGCACACGGGAGACCACCGACTCCAGAAGCAGAGGACATTTCGGAATGAAACAGAAAGTCACTCCGGGATCCAAACCCGACCCTGGACTGCCCTTGGCCGCCCCCAGCCCTGCCAGGGAAGAGGGAAGACTCTGCCTGCCCCTCCCAGCTCCTGAGTGAGGATTCCCTGAAGGAAAGTGCAGTGCAAAAGTCTCCACTCCAGGGCCCAGCTTTTTCACTTCTTGTTCTTCTTCCTCTCCCTCTTCTGCTTTTTTGAATATTTGTTCAGCTTTTTAACATGCGGTTTGTCTCCTTCTGCAGGGAATTATTCAGTGATCCCATGACCTGACTCCCCTAGCCCTTATGTAATTCCAATTGTGCCCTTTGAGTTCTGATCAGAAAGCTGCACTTGCCTCCTGGGAGGGACCCAGTGCCCCCCAGAGGAGGGGAGGGAGAAGTGAGAGGGAGAGACACTCAAAACAGCAAACAGTGACAATTAACCGTTCTAGGACCTTCCCTAGGGGCTGCTTTATGCAGTGTGCTTGTATTTCCCCCAGTTTGATTCTCCTTCCTAAATGCCAGGTGTAACAAGAGCCACTTCCTGGACTTTCTGTGCATCCCATAAGCCCCTGGGTGGATTTTCCAATGATGGGGGTCTCGAGAGTTGAAAAGCCTGGTGTAGATTTATAACACAGGTATAAACAGAACTTAAAACCTATAACACTTATAATTGTCGCCAGGTATCTGAATTCTGTGATGTGCCAAAGGACAACTTGGGTTGAGGGCCTGTAGCCAAACCTCCTGCCTCACCTTTGATCCTCATAAGCCCTCCCCAGGCCACCTCAGATAAACATATCCAAGTCAAAATTGCTTGCATGCTGTGCAAACATCCTTAAAAGCCAAGCTCCCCCCCTGAACTTCCAACCATGTCATAGTCCCTGGGGCCAGTTGAGTGGACATTTTGAAGCTACCACCATTTTGGGTGAAGGAAATGAGACTCACTGCCTTTGGTCTTGAGTTTCCTGGCTCAGCATCTGTGATCTGTCCAAATGACACCTATTGAGGGTTCAAACATAGAACTGGCCCATGAATGAGAAACTCTTGGAGAAACTGAAATGGCAATAAATGAGCAGAATACTGAAAGCCTCCTGAAATGTGAGGATCAAGTTTAAAAACCTCCAGCCTGTTCATTTGTTCTATATCAGCTCCAACATGAACTAAATACATGGGGTCTCTGGTCCCTGATTCCCCTACAAGTCAGTGAGGCCTTATTGCAGCATCTGGCAAGGAGGGACAGGATTTTCAGGTCTAAGAGAGCAGATGGTAACATCAATTAGTCTTTTATTTTTCCTCATTTGTCTCCTCTTCTTCCTTCTGCATTCCCCATCCATATCCACCAAAGGAAATTGCTCTCCCTTTCCTGGCTATCTCTAGCCTTGTAAGGAATGTTAGATTTTGTTACAGTATTAAAATAAGGGTCATGTGATGGATAGAGTATCCCAAGGATCACTTTTTAAATCATCACTACCTGCTCGTATATCCCTCTGAGGTGGGCATGGGTTTGTTGCTATTCTTCTTATCCTGACTCAGAGAAGCCAGTGACATGGATGGGAATTAGAAGTCATGTCTCCAGTGCTCTGGTTTGCAAAAGAAGAAAGACCTGTTTATATGAGAGAAAAATAGAAATGTACAAAGCTGATGGCGGATTGATGTCTGTTTATGTCTCACCCTCCAGGTGTAGTAAATAACACAGAAGGTGGTGTGGCAGTTGCTATGGTAACCACTTTCTTAGTAAGAATAAGTACACATCTGAAGATGTTAGAAAAAATTAAGTACTGAGACTTTTCTCAGTAATGGGCCATAGTAGAAAATATGCCCTTGGCTTATGTATAGTCATTAAATATTGATACTGCAAGACTCGAATTTCCTAAACTAGTACTGGACAGTAAAAATATAATGTGATCTTAAAATTTTTAGTATTCACATTAAAGAAAAAAAAGTGGTGAGATTCCTATTTGTAATATGGCTGATTTAATCTCATGTGCTAAAATATTATCATTTTATACATAGTCAATATAGAAAGTAAGAAGATGTTTTGTATTCCTGTTTCCACACTACATCTCTGAACTCTAAGTGTATTTCACACTCACATTCCATCTCAGGACCAGCCAGCAGTCATATGGAGGGAGTGGCTAGCACCTTAGATAGGTCAGCCCGAGATAATATTTGGCCATTTTGGGGTTAAAATATGTTCTTTGAGGACATATTTGCCACTCCCTCCTTGGAATTTTTAGAAATATTAATTGCACTCATTTGGTTCTAGTCCCATGGCATAAACCAAGTGGTATTGTCTTAGGTGGAGCAGGAAAATATCAAATAAGCTTGAACTTGAAAGAGTATTAAAGATTCAGCTTCTCTCATGCCATCAGAGGACCAGAAAGAATACAAAATAAATCTTGGGTTTGGAAAATGTCCCTTCCCTGGGGTGCCCCACTGGGCCAAGTTAGGGTCCTCAGCTATGTACCCTTGGCCTCTGCTCATTTACCTCTGCCCTGTAACAGACACTCAGTCTTATCAAATCTGTCACCTTCCTCAAACCAGAGAGGCTTGGCCAAAACCCAAACCATTCCAAGAATCCCTGCCTGGTCCCAGCCTCCACTTTCCCTCTGAATTTAAGTTCATTTTCCACCTGGCTTTAAGTGTGAGCATGTATCAAAAGCAGACTTTTAATCATATAGTTTCTCTGCTTAAAGGTTTCAGTAGCAACCTAACACCTTTCAAATAAGATCCATGCTCTTTGCTGAGAGACACTGGGAATTATAAACTGGGATGGGGAACCTCTCCACCTCATCTCCTTGCTGCGCATTCTTTCATTTTACTCGGGCTACATGCTTGGTGGTCCCATGACTTCCAAGATTCGGGAACTTTGCTTAAAGCTGTTTCCTCTGTTTGGCATGCACTTCCTTAAAACGTCCACCCTTTACCAAATAGCAAAATCTTTCAAGCCTTGCCGGCAGCTTTTCCTAATCTTATAGTTTTCTCCTTTGGGTTATCATATCACTTTCATGAATAGATTCATCATACTATTTATCACAACCTATCATAATCACATGATAGGGGAGATAAGGTTCTCTTCAACACTAGAAACCACTTCCCATTTGCCTTGAAATTCACCTTGGGATGCAGGATTATTTTTATGAAGTCATAGGAGTAATTAATGCCTGAAGAATTCCAATACTCTTTCCTTCTCATTTCTCCCTCTTCCAGTCCTCTAATTGCTTGGTTCCTTATAATCATCATCATCATCATCATCATCATCATCACCATTACACATATTAGCCAATATTCACATATTGTCCAATATTCACTTATCATGTATCATACACTGTGCTAAGTATTTTATATACATTGCATTTAACTCCAACAACAAATCAATAAGGTAGGGACTTTTTCCCGATTTTTCATAGATGTGGCACCTTGAATAGCTTCACTCTGTCAAGAAGTGTGCTAAGCTCATTCTTATAAACACCAGTGGTGACAGGTTGATGATACCTCCTAGATGTGTGATGTCACAGCTTTCAATGTTAGTCAACTCACTTGTAAACAGGTGAATACATGTGGCTTTTGTTTTCTACAAAGTTTCACATTCTTAGCTGGGCAGGGAAGCTTAGTTTGCGAGTATTTTATGTAGAATAAGAGCATAGTGGATTTGATTAAAGGCATGAGAAGTCCTACCATGTGGATATCAGAACACATGATCTTTTCAGTCAGTCATTTATGCATTTATTTAAAATTTATTTACTTGGGGATTTATTTCTGTGTCTTCAGTACATTCTATATGATTCAGTTTACTGGTATTTTACAACATGTAGGGCCAAGCACCACATGTGATGCAGATGTGGAATAATGAGATATTTCATTCATTGTTGGCAAGGATGTGATTAGTACAAGTGCTTTGGAAGGCAGCTTGGCGATTTCTTACAAAACTAAACACACTCACCATGTTATTTGGCAATTGAATACCCACTCCTGGCAACCCAAAGGATTTGAAAACCTCATATCCAACCAAAAACTCACACACAAACAGCAGCTTCATTCATAACTGCTGAAACTTGGATGCAATCCACACGAATGGATAAGTAAACTGTGGTACGAACAATGGAATATTATTCGATGTTAACAAGACTTGAGTATCAATGTATGAAAAGACACGGAGAAACCTAAGTGCATGTTACTAAGTGAAAAAAGCCAATCTGAAAAGTGACTATTTTCAGATACTGTTTGAGTCTAACTGTATAATATTCTGGAAAAGGCAGAAACTATGGAGACAGCAAAAAGATCGGCAGTTATGATGGCGGATACAGGTCAACATGCCTTTGTTCGAACACGTAACACCGAGAGTGGGTCACAGTGAAAACTATGGGCTCTCGGTGACTCTGGTATGTCACTGTAGGGTCATGTTTAGGGTCAAATACAGCACCCTACTGGTGGATGCTGATAATAGGGGAAGCTGTGTGAATGGGGGATAAGGTATATTAAAAAATAACTCTGTGTGTTCTTCTCAATTTTGCTACAAACCTAAAACTACTTCAAAAATAAAAATCCATTAAAAAAACGAAGGGGCTTGAGAATGTGCCCAGGGGCCCAGCATTCATTGGGTTCTAGCATCATCTACAAATTGTTTTCCCAGTAGACTTTCCATTGTTCAAGTGTTTACTGTTTTCCCTACTTTGTTTCCGCAAAGGGGAACCAAACTGCATGAAGGGCAGTGTGAACACCACAGGCTTCATGGATTCTTGTTGAAATGAAATGAAGAGAAAATGCACGAGATGCTTCACATAATAAATACTGTACATGTTCTGACATACACAGACAGCATGGTGGCCTTGATGTCAACAGAGGATTATTATCAGTGAGGTTCCTAGAGACTCTCAAGGCTGGCTCACCCTTAGACTTGGATGAAAGGTAGGGCTAGGAGAGCTAGGTGGGGCTGGAGGAGGCACTGAGTCCTGGGAAAGCCAACACTTTCTTGGAGTGCATCCAGGAAGAGACTTTCTGCTCATATCCCTCCACCTCTGGGGGCCCTGGGTCACCACTGCTTGACTTTTCAACACATCGCACATGAGGGGAAGGCCTGAGAACTTCAGCCTCTTCCTCTGCACCAGAGAGATGAAGATGCAGTGGATTTCTATGGATGTTACAGCGGCTCGTGTCTATAGTGCTTGGTAGAGTGACTGGGTAATGTGTGTTTCAGTGAAAGGACTATGTTTCTTCTCAAATGGTGTTGGATATCCACAATCATGATAAAGTTCTGGAACTGGGATTCCAGAGCTCAGAAGACGCCAATAGTGTTGTGGATTCCACTTTTATTACTGCATCTTCTTTCAACTTGTGGTCAGCACCTATAAATTGTCCCTTCTTTCTTTCCTTTTTCCATTCCTTCCTTCTGCCATCTTATTTTCTTTTCCGCTTGCCTTCATTCTCTTTAACTCTCCCCTGTCAATTTATTATCTTTAAAACGAGTTAATTTTGTCCCTTGTTATTCTTGGCCAGCTAACTAAGGCTCTTTGTATTGAGATCTTCTTGCCAAAGCCATATTAAGCTCAGTAGACTGCTAAACTTAGACCAGCCTGCTTCTCCTCTGCCATAGAAGGTCTGCGATACCACGAACGAGAAATGTAGGAGGCCACAGGATTCATGTTCAGAGCAAAAGGGCTGCTGCACAGCACGCTTCCCGGAATGAAGGCAGAGCCTGACAGGAAAAAGATCTGAGGACTCTAGCCTAATCCATAACGGAGCAGTTACTACCTTGCTCCCTGCCAAGCTGATGCCACTGCCAATCTCTGAAGCCATTTTTCACACTGCTTTTCAGCCAGCTCAGCATAGTATCTCGGTGACAACTTCACTTTGGGAGAGTAACGGGCAAAGGCAGTTTTCCCACAGGGTTAGGCAGTTTCCTTGCTCCCTTTAATTCTCTCTGAAGCCTCATGTGGAATTGATGTCATGACTTAGGTCCAAGTAGGACTAGGACTGGAGGGAGACACTGGAGGGGAAAATAGACACTCAGTGACCCATATAATAGGATAAATGAATGAGGTTGTCACATACCGTGAATGCAGGACTAAGAGACCTGGACTGAATTCTAGTTCTGCACCATCTCACCCGGGGGAGGCTT